CAGCAATCGGGGGGGGCTGGGGGGGTTCATGTGGGCCTTGCGGGGAGGGGTAGTCCCTGCAGGGGCCGTTTGGCCCCCTGTGGGGGTACCCATACCCCTTGTGGGGGGGCCATCGCAGCAAAATATGTATTTGTGAAACATATTTAGAGTTCACTTTATTATTATGATAAGAGATCTGCTTTAACACTGTAAGATATATCAATAAAACATTGTCCAACTGATCACTGTCTCTGTCTCTCTCTCTCTCTGTACAGTGGTCTTTTGTTTTACATGTGCAAGAACATGGATTTGGGGGTAGTTTACAGAGTGACTTTGGGATTTTATCAGGGATTTTTCAACTTTCCAATAGGGAACACCAGAATTCCTGCTAGAGAGGCCAGTGGCAGGACCCTACCTGCTCAGAGCTGGCACCTTGAACCCAGCTGGCCGTGGCTGACCTCCTGGCCATATGGGACCAGGAGGACATGCTTTGACAATTCAAAGCAGGCTATCACACCCGGACCATCTTCCAGGCGATAGCTGCCGAGATGGCCGGGTAGGGGGCTTGTGGCAGTAGTGCCGCACAGAAGCCACTGGCAGCTGGCCCAGAGGGGCAGATGCCTCTACTGGCTCTGCAGTCCCCATCCGGGTCTGGCAGGTGCGCAGCAGCTCACAGCCAGACAGCAATTCCCACTGCCAGACTGCTGGGTAGAGGGTGCAGGGAACTCTCAGGGCTGCTTCAGCAGTCCATCTGGCACAAGGGGTAGTGTCCCCAGGTACCAATTGGCTGGGCCTCAGAAGCTCCTGAGAGCTAAGTAGCCTTGACCTACTTGCCAGGGTGGCTTTTTATATTGCTGGGGCCAGGACAGGTGCTGGCCCTGGGCTCTAACTCTCTCTGGCTGCAGATCCGGGAGAAGCCAGGCAGGGTTATTTTGCCCCAAGTGGCACAATTTGCTCCACACCAAAGTGCGTGTCCGAGCACGTGCGCTGAAGCAAAAAGCCCCGGCTCAAATTTACACAGTTTCTGTTTGAGCTCCTGCAAGCGTACGTGCTTGCATATGTGGATGTGCCCTACAGGGAGCAGGTGGGAAAGAGAGAGAGAGAGATGCTGTTCTAACCCATGAGTAAAATGGAGTTGCTGTGATGCATTATATGGATATTTGGCAAGTGATCCTCACCCGCAACTAGAACTTAAATGTGCAAAGTATCCAGTCGCACAATTATATTCACCCATGTTACCACAGTGCTTGTACCCAGTTCCTGAAAACCAAATTTTGGTGCAGCTGAACTAGTTTCATGTATGCTGACTCCCTTTTGCTTTTTTAAACTGTTGAATTGCTTTAACATGGTTCAGGATAAACCAGTTCCTATCAGGTCAGGCAGGTCGATATGAAAAGAACTAAAACTTCAGAAAGCAGATTATAATTTCAAGGGTTACCCTATAATTAGGCTCGTCTTCAAGTGTTTCTTGAAAAGGCAGGAGTTTATAAATTACATCTGATATTTAGACTAGGAAAAAAGGTTTCTTCAAGATTTTGGAAAGGCTTTGGGGTTAAAAATAATGTTCCTAGTATTTCACATGCAGCATTTTTAAACAAGATTTTAAATCAAAGGAAAATATAAGATTCTTAACCCAGGCTCTAGACACCCTGAAACCATTGCTTTCCCTGGATCTGCTCTTATTACTTGTAAACATGGGGAGATGGGAACTCCTTTTCCTTAAATATGATTTAAAATAACAAAAGTGTATTTGCAAGGAGATACTAGAACCCCCAGTTTCTCTTTCCTGATTTTTGACAGTTGGTATAGTGCTAAAATTGTGGAGAACTACATTCTCAATGGTGTTGCTGTTTGGCTGGTGAAAACTTGCTACAAGAGCAGCCTATCCATTTAAGGGAGTTGCTTAGAATACTAGAAAAACAGAGCTGGAAGGAACCTTAGGAAGTTATATAGTCCAGCCTCCTGATCAAGGCAGGATCCATCCCTGTCTAAACTATCTTAGGCAAGAGTTTGTCTAACCTGCTCTTAGCTTACAGTGTTCGAAATTCACAGCCTATCTAGGTTTTCTGTTCCAATGCTTAACCACCCTCATAGTTCTTAATACCCAAACTAAATTTCGCTTCTTGCAGTGTAAGACCATTTACTACTTGTCCTATCCTTTGTGGTCCCAGAGAATAGTCTGTCCCCATCCTCTTTTATAACCACCCTTCAGGTATTTGAAGACGGTTACCAAATCTCTCTCCTTCCCCACCCTCCCATCTTCTCCTCAGACTAAATAATCCCAGTTCTTTCACCTTTTGTTGTAAGTCATGTTTTCTAGACCCAAATCTTTGTTGCTCTCCAAGTCCTTTTTAGTTGGTCAGTGTGTTACATCTGTGACGGTCCAGGAAATATCTGAGGGACAAAGATTTTTTTTTTTTTGTGGTATCTTTTTTTGGACCAACTATATAGTTGGGAGACATGTTGGACAAATTGTCAGGCATTGTGTCCTTCAGCTCTGAGAAAGAAACAGATGCAGTGTTGGGCCAATAAAATGCATCACAAATCCTTACCTCTACCTCTTTCCAGTATTCAAAACTGGACATAGTACTCCAGATGCTCCTTAAATACTGAAACAGTACTAATGACTAGTGACCTCTGCAGAAGGAATAGTAAATGAAGAAGTAATAGATTCTTTATAAATATGGAGCACAAAACATGTATAGCAACTTTATGAAAACACTCTTGAAATCCCAAGGTTCTTATATTGGAATTTTACAAAATGATAAACTGGTGCTTCAGGAAAGCAAGAATCCAGATCCTTTTATCTCCAAGTACACTGAAAAACAAACCAACAAATAATCTATAGTCAAAGATGCTACCCAAAATGTATTAATGCTAATCTTTTTTTAATTGATCTTTTTGGTTTACAAACCTCTATAACATTGTATTTGTTTATTTGTTACATTATAGAAACCCACAAAGTGCTAGTGGGTAATGTTCACATCTTGTTTTTGTTTTCAGTTGATTCAGTCTCCTGTGACCACTCCTCTTGGGCTGATCATGCTAAAGACTACATCAGAAGAGCTGGCCTGCCCACGGGAGGATCTCAGTGTGGCACGGAAAGAAGAGTTACGCAAATTGCTCCTGGATCAGGTGCAAACTGTGCTTGGGCTTCTCACAGGTGAATATAACTGCACTTGCAGGGCTGGAACAAATATCAGCCCGGCTTAAGCACCAGTGTTCCAGCATCTCGGATGCTAGTAGACTTGGACCTTTACTTTTTAAAAACAAGATACCCTTTAGGTATGAAGTACTACTTTCTGCTAACTAAGCTGTTAACCCTGCTGCCCAAATAGCTTATGGGATAACTTGTAAAACACTGACTGACACTAGATTGTGCAGTATAGCTGTGTTTTATAGACAACTTATACTCGAGGACTGGGATCAAGCAGATAAGCCTGCATACATGAGCATTTACTGTCATTCTTTTTAACCTCCAATAACGTTTTTAGCACTCTTCAACTTCAAAGTGCTGTACAAATTGTAATCCCCCAGCTTTTTTAAGTCATCTTTGTTGGTTTTATGCTGTCATTGCAATAAAAAATAGAATAAGGATCTGAGGTAAACATCTGAAAGTTTCTAGCCCAGATTTACTTAGATTTGTCAGATCAGTTTACTGTACCATGAGTTTGTTATTCTAAATTAGGATGGCATTTTTTAAGAACTCTTCTCTACGTGACTTGACCTAAGTCTTCCTCTTTCTTGTCAGGTATCTTAGAGAGTATCTGGGACAAACACAGTGTTACTGCTGCCACTCCACCACCGTCCCCAACTTCAGGAGAAAGTGGTATGGGTTCACTAGAATTCAGTTCTTGAATCTTTAACTATTTTATGCATCATACAGTTTCTAGATTGACAATCTAGGAACTAAGGCATTTGTAATACCTAGCATAAATTCCTTCCCATTTTATCTGATTTGCCATAATGTCCACTTACCAAATGGTAAGCCACAGTTAACCAAATTACAACCGGAAAGATGTCTTGTTGAATACTATAGTATTTTCCTTCTACTAGTGATTTCACTGGTCTCCCTAGCATGGTATTCTCTGCTGAAAACATGAATCCTCCAGTCAAGACTGCACATGTAGCATATTAACTGTAAATATCTTACCTCTTGAATTAATGCAGGCTCTCTAAAGTAGTTGGTTTAAAACAACAGGGTGTCAGTATTGACATTCATTGATGAATTGTAAACAGAAATGGGGGGGCAGCCAGGCTTTGGGAAGATTGTGGCATCTTTGGTAATAATATAAGTGTGGCTCCATTTCATATCCATAATATAACCAAAAGAAAAATTTGTTTTCTCTACCCATTTCTATTGGCCTCTTGCTTGGTTGTACATCTTATTGTCTCCTTCCAGTTTCAGGTAAGTGTTTTAGGAAGAAAAGAGAAAGAGAGAGGATCTATCACTAGAAAGGTTTAAAATTACGATAGTACTGAAGATATCAAAACTCATGGCAGAGGTGTGGTATTAGACCAACTAGGTATTTGCACAAAAAATTCTTGATTGCAGGCTTTCGGACACAGGCACCCTTCATCAGGCATAGGAGATTGCAAAGATTTTAAAAATTCTCCTAGGTAGAAATGAAAATTCATATTTCAAAGGAATTCTGAAGGTGTAGTAAAGTCTCCTGTTTGGAACACTTCAGTTCATTTTGTGAAGATTAGACTCCAAAGAAAAGATGGGAAAGTCTTTTTACCTCAAAGTTATCTGGTGGTAACCAGGATGTAAAATCATGTTTCCTTCTGGTTATGATGTTTCATAGTTCACTGAAGAGTGGAAAGATGGAATGCGTTTCTGGGCAAGAATCTCTTTTGTAGAGAGGTATCTCTGTGCTCTGTTACAATGCAAATTAGCTTGAGCAGAGTCTCAGGTTTCAGGTGGTAAATTTTGCTTTCTTCTTGTAAAATGATGAAGTTTTCATTTAAAAGAACAGCTAAAATTTGGTATCTTCTAGGCCCGTGTGAAAAAGTTAGTATTTGGTTCGGTTTCGGCCGATTTGGGGGACAATGATTAAATTCACGACAGTGATTTGAATCACCGAATCAATTCAGCCAAATCTGATTCAGAGATTCAGCCATTGCCAAGTCTCTGAATGAAACAGGCCCCATGTTCCACACACTCCCCCAGGCCCGTCAGTGACTGCCCTGCCTGGCCCCATCATCCACTTAAAAAAAAAAAAAAAAAAAAAAAAAAA